GGAGATGGCAGGTAGAATGGCTGGAGCCTGGAAGTCAGAAGGTGAGCTAGCTAGCACGCCGAGTCGGACGGCAACGAAAAATAAGAATGCAAATACCGGGTTGCTAATTATTATTTACTAAGCCATTTCCACCGTCAAACCGGCATCCTAAGCCTCCCCCATTTTTTTTTCAAAGCCGTAAGGAAATTGAAAACTGCCTTGTATGTAACCTGTCATAAACGTTAATCTTGTTCCGGATCTGTGGGCGATCGCGCTGCTGCACGACGGTGGGTCGGGAGTAGTCAGGGTCGACTTGAAGTGGCTATTGATAGCTTTTCATGTGCACCTTCGGTATTGACCATGGATGTTTAGAGTCAATAATTTTCTTATGTCGTGGACGTAGGGAGTGCAGTAACATGTGCACCGTTCAAACGGGAGACGGAGTGCCGGGAAGAGGCGCGCACAATTGATACCAAAAAAGGCAGTTAAGAATGCGGCAGGCCCCGTTCAACAATTTCTTAACGTCTATTTGTTCACACCCACTAGCAGAGGTTGATATATGATTACAATCCAGCATTGTCAAAGTGCACTACGTTACACCTATTTGAGCTACTCGTACCAAGAAAAATATGCCAGACTAGATTTCGACTACTACCTACTACAAAACGAGCATTACCAAAAGCGTGAAAGTCATCGATCCATGAGAACGTCGTAAAGATCAATCAACAAAAAAAAGTGGGGGAGGGGGAGAAAGAGAATACAAAGGGAGACGAAAGGACGTTCAAGGAACGCTCAACGCTTTTCCTCGAAATGACCCTCGGCGAGGTTATCAAGCTCGTCGTCCTGTGCATCCAGGTGTCTGAACTGGAACCAAAATATAACCCCCGAAACCGCCGACATGACACCCACGACGCCATAATTCCATACCAACAACGGGTCCGTCGACAGCGGGACGAACGCCTCTCCAATAGCGCTCGAGATAGCCGACATGAACAAGAAGACGCTCATCACGAGGGACCGCATGTTCTTTGGTGCTTTGGTGAACGCGTACTCGAGACCGGTGATGGATGCGAAGATTTCGGAGAAGGCGAGGAGGACGTAGCTGCCTGTTTGGATCCAGACGTTGAGAGGGCTGACGAGGGCGTTGTTGTCGGCGTCAACACATGTGCTGGCGCTGTACCCACAAGGGTTGGTCTTGTAGATGTAGTGCTGGACGACGGCGGACCAGACCATGGCGGCCGCGCCTGCCCAGAAACCCCATGCGATTCTCTTGATAGGTGTGAATTTGATGCCGGCGCGACGAAGGGCAGGGTAGACGATACGGTCGACGATAGGGATGAAGATGATGAGAGCGAGAGGGTCGAGGTTGGAGAGGATGTCGTTGGGTAGACCGTGGGTGGACATGGTGGCGGCTTGAGATGTCAAATTGTTGTTCAATTGGTTATAGGTGAGCCAGTAGATGGGGTACCAGCAGAATACGGTGCAGGCTTTGAAACCACGCTTGACTTCGTCAACCCATTGATCGTCAAAGGTGACCCAAGACGGACGCTCGCCCTTGACAAAGTTGCTTGGCTTTGCGCCTTCCCAGAAATCGGCCGCGGTCATGTTCTTGAAGAGCTTGACGGGGTTGGCGGTCCATCGGCCCTTCATGGCTTGTCTCCAGATACGGATAGACTGGCCTAAGACGGATCCAGTAGGAGGAGACCTGCGGTACTTGTTGCGGCCAAAGTAGAGAACGAACGGCGTGATGGCGAACATGGCGGTAGGAAGCGTGTAGGCCAGATAAAAACCGACGTATTTCTCGGCATAAGTCATACCAATTTGCCCGACGAGTGCGCCGATGTTGATGAACAAATAAAAGTACTGTGATTTCCATGAGTGAACATGTCTCTGATACGGACGAGGAAGTACACTTACCATGTAAATTCTAGCAGCTGTCAGACTGGGATCGCAGAGGACACGCTCGCCACTCCTCTCAGTTCTGACGAACATTTTCGTGCGCTGGTACTGCTCTGCAACAAGTGGAGAAATGTTTGGCTTGAAGCTACCAGTACCGAGACCCAATATGATGATAGCAATGACGAAGCAGGCGAGCGAACCATGCGATTTCTCGATGACACCAGGCACGGCGGATATAATGAGGAGGACGTGGCCGAAGAGCGCGATAGCCACTGCGTAGCAAATGGTCTTGAAACGACCCAATCGAGTGTCAGCGACGTAGGCACCGAACAGCGGGACAACGTAGACCCAGAATGTGTTGAAGGTGGTGAGACCGGTGGAAGCTTGTTGGCCCATTCCGAGCGCACCAGACTGGCCATCCTTGCCTCCCGCTCCGGTGTGAGAACCTTTTGGGAGGGGTTGTTGGATGAAGTTGGTCTAGCGACGAGGGGCCGAAGGCGAAGATGAGCGCTTTGCCCAATGGGGAAATGTTTTATTGGTGACTTACAAAGACGACCGTGGAGCCATAGTATGAAAAACGCTCGCAAAGTTCAATGAACGCAATCACTATGGAGATTGTGAGCGATCAGACATGCGACTATGAGGATGAACGGGATACGCACAGTACGCGCCCCACGGGACAGCATCAGGCACACGCCTGAGAGTGGCTTTCTCCTCTTCGGTGGGAAACTCAAGACCGTCGTGAATACCATCGAGCTCGTGGCTGGCGGTCTCGGACTCGACATGGCCGTCGTCGGAGTCAAGCTTCTTCTCGGAGAGCTCAGCGGCGGCGTAGCCGAGATCGATATCACGGTCGTGCTGGAGGCCTGCCATCGTTGGGTAGTACTACTACTGGGGGACGCGGATGGAGCTGAGCAGCCTGTGCGCTGCTGAAGGATGTGGAGGAAGGGAGTGAACTTCAACCTTGAAGGAATGAAATGAAGCCTCTGCCCGCTTTATAGGCATACCATCCCCCTGAAGAGATGTCTATTTCGCAAGACGGAGGTTCATGAGCACATCTGATGGAAGAACCATATGGTTCATTGCGCATAGGGCCACCTGCCGGAGTTGGGGGGATGTTCCTGAACGAAGGGGTAAAGAAAAGAAGCTAGTGGGCCCCGTGTGGACACACACCGAGAGGGGGCCCACATGGAGCCTCTTAATCGCAAGGCTTGGCGTATACAATTGTCGTCCATTCTCCTCTCGCATGCTGTAACCGAGAGAGATAAGAAATAGACCATGGCTCGGTGCCCTGCGACCGCTCACTCACCGTATCTTTCGACTTGATCAACCCAGAACGTAAGCGGCGCTGTCGTTGTCGTGATGCGTACAAGGTATTGCTTGCACAGAGTCAAGTCTTCCCATGGTACCATGATAGCGCCAGCTGAATATGGTTGCACATGGACGTTTTCCGTCGACCAGTCACGTATTTGATGCACACGACCTCGCCAAAAATCTTTCCTGATCACAGGCATCCACTCGATTCCGTGCGCGACATTCTGCTGGCGCAATATTGCGTGGTCCGGGGATACAGTCACCCCACGAACAACGACTAGACCGATAATAACTTACCTCCGTGGTGGATGCTACACCGTTGAATGTTGAACCGACGTTCATATGGTGCGTCCTGCTAAATTTTCCAAAAAGAGCTCGACACGATCGATCGGGAAAATTACACTCGGCCTATCAAAGGGCAGCTCTGTTGGCTCTCAACGGATTACAGCACAACGGCCGACTACAGCGGCGGGATGTACGGGTACCGACTCGCTCGAGTGCTCTATTCGACAGTCTCCTCAACGAGCAATGTCAACCAACAGATCCGAGGCATGTCACGGGCGTGGTTAGGCTATAGCTTGCCACGGTACGCAATCCCGGGGTATGTTGAGTGCATTCGGTGTTCCAGCTCTTCGAGTCTCAGGTTTTGTGCCTGGGCGTGCACCGCTATGATGCTCACAATTCATCGCAAAAAAGCCGCCACGGATATCAGGTTCAATGAAAGAAGTCACCATGTGCGTCTGTGCAATCAGAAGCCTACAAACGGTGTTCATAACCCGCGTGTCCCTTCCCTCGTAGGTTTGAGGAATTCTTTATAAAGAGACAGACGTTGAAGACGACTTTGAGTACTTGTTCAAGTACCAGTGAGTGGGTGGCAGCCATCGGCCGACTCTTCCTCTGCTATTTTCTGCACACTATCAATATCTAAACGCACCATGTGGTTCACAAACTCGAAATAGTCGATGCGAGTACGCGAGCGTCATCCGATAATTGGATCCACGCGGACAACAACTCACTAGTACTCACTAGAGTCACTAGGACTGCGGAGAGAAGAAGACCGCATTTTCTGTGCTTGCAATAAATTCTCTCTCTCTATAGGTGGCCATGACAGTCGCTACATAGTTGCTACATCTATCGGAGCACCACCACTACTGTCAGACCTCAGTGTTGTGTTGTGAATATGATGAGCTATGATCATAGTGACGGTCCAGCGCTGCGAGTCTCGATGTGTTCTCTTCGCAGATAAGAAAAGAAGGACAATCGGATACTGTACATTGCAATTTGTTTTCAAACGAGTTCTATATTTGAACCATCACGACTCATCTTCACGATCGTTCGAACCAAAATAATAAAAGCGGTTCTACGCCTTCGTATCTAGTTCGTAAGGGGCACCTTGCCCCAAAAGGCAGCGTAGTTCCACACTACTATTTTGACTAGCAGCAACCACTTGAAAAATCTAGCCACGGCTGGAATAACGCCCTGGTCTCGAGAGCCTATGAAGGAACAGAACCCGGAGCTTGAACTTCCGGGGGGAACTGAAGATGGACGCACCGGATGTATCAGCAGAGAAGCAATTAGGAGAATCCTCCGGGGTCCACACAGGGATTAACAAGGTCACACAACCCTTTCGAGGCTGTTCAATTCCGTTTCAGCCTGCACAGAACTGCGAATCGTCTCAAGTACAAGGCACAATTATTTAGAGTTCAATCGGCGGATGCGCGGACCGACCAGCGCTAATTCTGTTGTCGCGGAACTTTGGTGAGCCTTCCGCGTTTCGGCCTTAAATTTTCGTTTTCCTGCTCTTGTATCCTTCGATAGCTCAGTTGGAAGAGCGTGAGACTGTAACGGATGCCTATCTCAATGTCGCTGGTTCGATCCCGGCTCGAAGGACTGTCTTTTTGCAAGTAAACCATGAAAAAGAGGTCGAGGAATGAGCCCAATACCTCTGGAGGCCGGTCAGTGCACAGCAACACATTTCGCATTTAGAAAGACCAAAGGATACATGGAATATGTACTACTTATGCTTTACTTTGAACTAGGGATCCACCGGTGTAATCATTCCCAGCTTTCGGGTATTTAATGCGTTGACGAAATCGAAAGGGGCGCTGTCAGCGTCTTGACTCTTGACTCTTTGCTATTCCCAGGCAAGGGAACCCGATGGTCAGTCCGTTTTCGCGCAAAGCAGTGCTGTATATCTTGAGATGCTAATTGTGCATACGTGATAGCAGTGTCTCATGATCACGGCGTGGGGGAGCTGTACAACCCCTAACTGACCGGACAGTAACAACGACGCATGTTGCCAGTAACAATACTGCCTCATAGTCTCACACCCGGTTGACTCTATATTGAATCCACCCCATGTAAGACTTCCAACAGCACAAAGTACGTTGATATCCGACTGTTGCTTCTTACAAGCTAATTATGTTCCTAGTTTACTTGCCTTTTCATGGGGTTCGGACGTCGCGCTGAACAGCCAAGTGGTATAGTCATAGAGGTATCTAGTACCTAGTACGTGTTCAAACCGGAGCCGAGATATATAATCAATACAGTAACCTGCGCTACTTCGCCACACACCATCATCAAAGGACTACGCTCAAACACAATGTATGTATCATCCGTAGCATCATGTCGAGTCACAATATCCATTCTAACCGCCACAGAAACCTCCAGAAGCTCCTCCGGATATGCGGCTACGTACCTAGCTTGTTGATCGCACTCAAAGGACGACAACCGTCAGACAGATTTGACGGGCAACCCCTCTCTATCGTGAGATTCGGATGGCAGGTCGTTTGGCCTGGGGCTTGGACGGCGCGATGACCTCAACCAGCTGAGTTGTTCGTGTGCGAGAAAGAACTGGTGTGGCTATATATAAGTTATCGTACTTCCCTACATGACATTCAACGACTCCCCCACCCCTCTGAAGATTCCTGGGTCATTTTTATCGCCATGACCATCTCTACAAACCTTCGACACGATTGCACTGAATCCCTGGAGGTCCTACCACTTGAAAGTGATCGGTGGAATAGCATGACACCTATGGATATTGAATGGCTGCGATATTCTATCAGTGCGGACGACAAGGAGATGCGAGAGAGGGTAGATGCACTGCAGAAAGAGTAAGCCCGCGCGTTTATGATAATACGTTATGCCACACTGACTTGCTTGACCATTATACAGCGCGTAGTATGTACTTGTTCATTGTCAATCATAGCTGCTGTACTGAAGATGCTTTCTACTTTCCAGCGCAACCTATCCTTACCCGTGCATCAGGATATACAGCTTCGCTCGACTAGACGCACCCAGACACGCTCTGTACAACCAAATCATCGATGCAGGAAAGAAGGGGAACACGATTTACCTCGACTTTGCATGCTGCAGTCCGTACACCCCCCTTACACTCCCTATTGACAACTCTAATATCTGGTATTTCTATCCAACAGTGGGAACTGACGCCAGGAAAGTCGTAGCAGACGGCTACCCTGCCCAAAACGTCTTCGCATGTGACCTCCGCCAAGAGTTCCTGGACTACGGCCATCGACTCTACAACGACGCATCCACGTGTGGGATACACTTCCTAACCGCCAACGCCTTCGACATTCCTTACCCTCCTCCCAGTGACGGACCGACCGTGACGGATTTGACTAGCACCAACGTCACGGATGTCAGTCAACTGCGAGGTCAAGTGACACATCTGTACGCTGGGCTGTTCTTCCATCTTTTTGAAGAGGCGGTTCAGTATGACTTGGCACTGCGGTTGGGGACGCTGATGAAGCGCGAGTCAGGGTCTGTTTTGTATGGGAGGCAGATGGGCGCGGAGGAGCCACGGGATGTTGAAGGAACGTGAGTAGAATTTCTGAATTGCATTGTAAACGAAAACAACTTTTTGACCCATGACCTTTTCTTCTTTGAACAGTGGGATGTTTGCGCACAACCCCGAGTCTTGGACACGCATGTGGAAGAAGGCTTTCACCGAGCTTGAAAGCGCAGAGTTTGCAGAGAACAGGGTGGTTGTGAAGGCCAAATTTGTGGTCCCGGAGGAGAAAAATATTGTCAAGCTTGACGTTGAGCTTCCGGTGTTGTATTGGAGCGTCCAGATTGTGTGAGGAAATAGCGTTCCGGTAAGAAGATGCTGTTGGCCGGAAGCAGTATTGGGCTCATCGGGATGCAATTAGCGGTGGTGATAGTGTTCAACCACAGCACCAAAAGAAATCTACGGGTTTATTTACCAATTTGTGCATTTGTGAAGATAGCCCAAGCCTCGAGCTCCTGTCAATACCTCACTCACGACAATACAACTGTTCCGAGTCTCAAACAATACCAACATACATTTAACCTCGCTTACCATTAAAAATGTAATCATTTCCAATGATCTACGGCCACTTGAGGTTGCCACTTGTTGTCACGGAAGAGTTGCCGGCCGGGAGTTAGTATGTCCATAGAAAGGCCCTTTCGCTGGGTGGGCCAGCGCATTGTCCATGCGCACGTGATCTCGGTAGGGATATATAAGTAACCCGCAACGCCAACTATCACTAGACCTGTGCAACCCACTTCCATACCTGTGAGAACTTCGAGCTTCTACGAGGCCACTGATGGGACTAGTTGTACTCTAGAGTCCAGTTCCTTGACGCCAGAAATGCGTACCAGATCGAAGCGACAGGCAACCGCTCTTGCCACGGCGAAATCCAAGGCGAAGAGGATGACTGAAGAGGTTAAACGTATGAAGGAAACACAAACCCGTAATGCTAAAAAGGTCTCGTGTCGATCTCCTAGTCCTACACCAACCGAGTCGGCCAGCACGCCGTCGACACCTCCGCAGTCACCTCGCATCTCGCCGGGTATGTTTGGAGGACCAAGGCAAGACACGTTCCGATCTAGTTTCACAACCAAGTATACGATCGGACATGCTATCTATTCTTTGAAGCAGGACGATAGGAAAAAGTTGGCGGAGAAGATCATAGCTTGTCGCGCGAGAGGCAATGGATTCGCTGCTGATATTATGAAAAGGCAGATGGCAGATATTCTTGAAGAGGAAAGAGATGTGTGGAGGAGACAGGCAGAGAGAGATAGGCAGATTGCACTCGAGCAGATAGAGCTTTTACGGAACCGACAAAGGATAGGGGCAGTGGACGTTGTTCAAGTTGACGGCGTCGGTGTCGGTGAAGGCGACTTAGACTCTGATCGTGAGCTCGAGGTTGATTAGCATGTACCGGATAAATCAGCGATTCTCTTCATACCTTTTCTCATTTATGTACTGGCAGGAGACGACTTGCAATGAGCGACTTGAGGAATGTACCCAAACGAGTAGGTGCTGTAGCTGGGGACAACATTCCGGGCGTTAATTTGTTTCCAAAGGTTGTCTTCAACGGCCACCATCATAAGCCACTGTCGCAGAGAATGCTAAGCCATGCCGGATATTAGCTCAAAGAAATAGCGGTAAGACCCCATCGCTCACGTTTCAAGGCCTGGTTCATTCGTGCTCGTTGTTCAATTCTCAAGTTGATGACGTGCTGAATTAGCCATTACTATCACACGGCCCAGGAAGCAATATGTGGGTATCTTTCCCTGCTACTCTCTTGACAACCTGCAACTTCTTGTTTAAGTACTCAGGCCTATAGACGGTACTTATACCGGTGAGCGGTGCATTGACACATCCATTTTATTTGGGCACTATTCACCCGATAATGCAGCGAGAGACATGGCTGAGATAACTCGAGAAATTGGACTCGATGCCTCAGAGGTTCCCACATTGGACGAATCTCTGTTAACCCTTTCTGACTCTGAGCAAGAGTTTCTTCACAAAGCTATCACCTCAGACGATACCACGCTTAAAGAGAAGATCCTCGAAGTGCAGAGAATGTGAGCCATCCTCAAATTCCGAGAACATATCGCGGATCAGTGCTGACCCCTGTTATCAGAGCTTAGTACGTCGCAATCTACCTAACCACAAATCATACTATATGAACTATTGAATAAAGTGCTGAGCATCCCTACCCGTGCATCCGTGCCTTTCACTTTGTCAATCTCATGATGGCCGCAAATCCCATCTACCCAGAAGTCCTCACAGCCGGAAGAAACGACAATACAGCTCTGGTTGACGTAGGGTGCTGCAGTAAGTCTTCATAAATACCACGCTATGAATTCCGCTCATACGATCCGTCCAAAGTGGGAAGTGATGTCAGAAAGATCGTCTCAGATGGCTACCCTGCCATTAACGTCCTCGGTGTTGATTTACGCCAGGAGTTCCTGGACCTTGGGTATCGCCTTTACGGTCCCTCGCGGGATATCAACTTCTTCACATCTGACATTTTCGAAATCCCTTATCCAGTTCCGAAAGCTGCACCAGCCGACGACACCCCATTCTCGAGTGTCAAGGATCTCCTTCAGCTACGAGGACGTATCACCCACTTTTATACTGGCGCCCTCTTCCATCTCTTTGATGAATCCACCCAATACGCTCTGGCCCTTCGTGTTGCAGAGTTACTGAAACGAGAGCCTGGCGGGGTAGTGTTTGGTAGACATCAGGGTCTGGTAGAGGCTGGTTATATTAATGACCATCTTGGAAGGTACGTCAAACTCTCTCGCGATAGCATGGGGAGAGTAATGATTTGTATTGCGTTAGGAACCGATATGGTCATTCAGAGACGAGTTGGCTCTTACTATGGAAGAAAGTCTTCTCCGAGATCGAATCCTCAGAGTTTGCAGAGCAGCACGTGGTAGTGAATGCCCAGCTTACCAGCGGATTTGCTTCACACATTTTCCAGGCGAGAACACAAACGCATATGTTGGTATGGAGCGTAAAACTTGTTTAAAGCTGCTACAGGATGTATAGATATGAAGAGGAAAGGGGGAGCTCGAATGCGTATTGATACATAATCCTAGTCAAAATATTA